CATAGTTCTTAAAACACTGGCCAGAGCAATCAGACAAAAGAAATTAAAGGGATACACAAAAGAAAAGAAGAACTCAAATTGGCAGTATTTGCTGATGATATGATTCTATACCTGGAAGACCGTAAAAGTTCCACCAGAAAACTCCTAAACTAGTAAATGAATTCAGCAAAGTAGCAGGATATAAAATCAGCACCTGTAAATCAAAGGCATTTCTGTGTATCAGTGATAAATCCTCAGAAATGGAAATGAGGAAAACCGCTCCATTTGTGGGAAGCTGACTAGCACATGACCGTGTCTGACTGTGTCTTCGTGTATGGGCCTACCTCTCTATATCCCCTTAGGTCGAGCTATGCTCACCTTTTCTTTTGTAATATTACCCCTTGCCCTGTTTGGGGTAGAATGTTCCATGGAAATACCCTTTGTGTGTCCCCTTATCTGCCCTTGGGTGTGGCCTATCTAGATATCAGTCAACCTGCTGACAGCAGACATCATGAAGCTAGACTCAGCCCTYTGAGACCTGACCCCTTACCTCATTTGAATGGCTTCTCCTCTATAAAAGGGGTCAGCACGCTCGCTCCTCTCTTTCTACATACCCTTAAGGTCAGAAGAGCCGTCACAGAACCCCCAATGACAAAGGTATTTCTGTCTCTTGTGTGGTTATTTCGCACAGCCCAGTTAGCCCAGTTCCTGAGTGTTTTAGTCGGGTGCAACGAGGCACCCATTTACAATAGCCTCAAAAAAATAAAATACTTGGAAATCAACRAAAGAGGTAAAAGATCCATATAMTGAAAATTACAGAACCTTAAAGAAAGTTTTAAGACCTTAGAAAATGGAAAGATCTACCTTGCTCTTGGATAGGCAGAATTAATATTATCAAAATGACAATACTTCCAAAAGCAGTAGACAGATTTGATGCAATTCCAATCAAAATCCCAATGACATTCCTCATAGAAATAGAAAAATCAATTGTAAAATTCATCTGGAAAAATAAGAGACCCAGAATAGCTAAAGCAATCTTTAGGAAGAATGAAGCAAGTGGCATCACTATACTAGACCTCAAACTATACTACAGAGCAGTAGTAACAAAAACAGCATGGTATTGGCACCAAAACAGAGTGGTAGAYCAGTGGTACAGAATAGAGGTCAGCAGAGACTAACCCACAAAATTACAATTATATTAGACAAAGGTGCCAGAATATGCCTTGGAGAAAAGATAGCCTCTTCAACAAATGGTGCTGGAAAAACTGGAAATCCATATGCAATGAAATGAAATTAAACTCTCTCACCAAGCACAAAACTCAACTTAAAATGGATCAAGGACTTAGGAATAAAACCAGAGACCCTGCATCTAATAGAA